AATGTTCAGCAATATTAGAAGCACTATACCTCCACCGCCCCTGAATGCCGACCCTTCATGCCATCCTATAGCCATAGCACTTGGAGGCCCAAAGCCTTGCCTTCAATTGGCATATCAGTACAAATGATCCATGGAATGGTTTAATTAGCTATTTTCTACTACTTAAATGGACTGAGAAAGTCCGGTTCCTTAAGGTTAACTGGATTCTCCTATTATCCCAAACCAAGCCAAATAACTAACCTCAGCTCTCCACCACCCCATCCTATCTTTCCCTGAACATCTATTGCCTGTAACTATTCCTGGGTAAAATTTCCCCAGCAGCTAATTTCTTGAACAGCTAAGCTCACAGGTTACCTGGGAAAGTAGACAAGAATAAAGACAAGTATGCAGATAATGCCACAGCCAAAGCAGAACCAGAGAGCTAGTCTGTTGGGGCACTGCCGCTGAATGCAGGGACTCAGGACACTGCTGTCACCCCTGGTATTCAATACTGCATCCACTGGCTGACAACACAGACACTTGTGTGCTTGCCAACTGCACACTGACACCAGAGAGAATCTCCACTGTCCTTGTTTCTTTGTGTCATTAGTTTCAAATTCAGAATCTCAGGCGAGTGCATCTGATTGGCAGAGCCTAAGTCAAGGGCCTACATCCCAGCTGGCAGAGGAGATAGAATAGTTAAGTGTCTGTTCATTTCAATTTCTCTCTTAGGAAACAAAGAATTTCTCAAAGATGAAGGGGTTTCAAATGCTGGGCATCAATAATTTTAAGTGTACATTATACATTAAATAATGTGTAATCCTCTGAGCAAATGTCATGGGATATTATAGATGTACACTGAATTGTTTTTTAGCAATGCTATCTTTAAAACCTAGAGCATAATGCCTGTCTCACAGCAGGCACTAAATAAAATAGTATTTGCTGTTAATACCCTCAATAAAGCTATCATAATTACTATTGTAGTCATGGTCATCATTATTGCACAGTGTCGACCTACAAGGATCACTGAATATGGATTAAATGAGGTAACAAAAGTCTGGGGTAGACTGTAAAAACCAATGACAAAGAGACCTGGATGGCCCCTTCTGATGCCATGAAGCCAGAAACTAGGTTCCACCCCAGGGATCAAAGGGGAGCCCTAAACTGATTACAATTCCTAATCTTCCTCCATGATGGATCAGAAACTCAAAACAGAAAAAAAGTTGTTACAGATGATCAAAAAGACATGTATTTCTTCCATACTTAATTATAGGCTGGTATTTGTACACACTACATCTTTTTTCAGGTACACTGTAGCAGTCAAGCAAAGTGCCTATACTGAATCCTTCAGGACAACTTCAGAAGACTTACCACATGCACTGTCCCTTTCTCTAAGTCTGTGAGTTCTTTACACAGTGGCTACCATGCATACCAGGTTATCTCAACAAAGGAAGCTGAGCAGCCCTTTATAGGCTATACTGCAGCTTATGAGGTGATCTGGCCCCAGGTTTATGCCTTGGGAGTCCTTGTTGTCTCTTAGGAAGTACGAACTCAAGTCACACAAAGATACAGAACCAATTAGTCTTAATAACAGGAGCAGAGAAAGAAGTAGCTGAATCAATGTAATGGTGATGCAGTAAACTTTCTAATGGCTACATGGGCCTCCCATCCTAACGTGCATGCTCCTTTCCAATGTGACTTTCTTGCTTCACCCATGCATAAGCAAAGTCTGTTTCTTCAAACCCTTGAATCTAGGCTGGTCTTTTAATTTGCTTTGCCCAACAAAAGTGGAAGTGACCTAATTGGGTTCGGAAACCTAGGTAGGTCTCAAGTAGAATTGCAGCATGTTTTGCCCTCTTGAACTGCTATCCTGAGAACATTCTGTTGTTAAGAAGTTTGGAGTGAAGGCAACATGGGAAGGCCAAGCCATCTGTTTTTCCAGCTAATCCATTCCATCCAGTTTACATGAGCCCCTGTAAGAAAAAAATAACTTTTTGTCTGTTTTCTTCTATGAGTTCTATGGTTTCATGACTTAATTCAGGTCTTTGAACCATTTTGAGTTCACTTTTGTGTATGGAATTAGACAATCCAGTTCATTCTCTTACATGTAGCTATACAGTTTTCCCAATACCATTTGTTAAAGAGGCTATCAATTCCCCATTGTATATCCATGCCTACTTTATTATATATTAAATGGCCCTATATGTGTGGGTTTATATCTGGGCTCTCTATTCTGTTCCATTGATCTATGAGTCTGTTCTTGTGCCAGTACCAAATTGTTTTGATTACTGTGGCTTTGTAGTAGAGCTTGAAGTTAGGGAGTATAATCCCCCCACCTTTGTTCTTCCTTCTCAGGATTGTTTTGGCTATGTGGAGTCTTTTGTGGTTCCATATGAATTTTAGAGCTATTTGTTCTAGTTTGTTGAAGAATGCTGTTGGTATTCTGATAGGGATTGCATTTAATCTATAGATTGCTTTAGGCAGGATGTCCATTTTGACAATATTGATTCTTCCTATGCATGAGCACAGGATCAATTTCCATTTATTGGTATCTTCTTTAATTCCTCTCATGAGTGTCTTATAGTTTTTAGAGTATAGATCTTTCATCTCCTTGGTTATGTTTATTCCTAGGTATGTTTTTGATGCAGCTGTAAATGGAGTTATTATCCTGATCTCTGTGTTAATTCATTTAGTGTATTAGAATGCAACAGACTTCTGTGTATTAATTTTGTATCCTACAACTTTGCTGAAGATAGTTATTACTTCTAGTAATATTTTGGTGGAGTCTTTAGGGTTCTCTAATATCATGTCATCTGCAAACAGTGAAAGTTTAATTTCTTACTTACCAATCTGGATGCCTTTTTTGTGTTGTGTTGTCTTGATTGTTATGGCTAGGACCTCTAGTACTATGTTGAATAAAAGTGGTGTGAGTGGACATCTTTGTCTTGCTCTCAAACTTAGAGGAAAAGCATTAAGCTTTTCACTGTTAAGTATGATGTTGGCTGTGGGTTTGTCATATATGGCCTTATGCTGAGGTACATGCACTCTATACCCATTTTGTTGAGAATGGATGTTGAATTTTGTCAAATGCTTTTTCAGCGTCTATTGCGGTGATCATTTCATTTTTTTATCTTGTTTGTTGTAGTATGTTGATTTTCAAATATTTTACCAATATTTAGCATTTTTTAGCTAAGGTACAAGGTATTTTCTCAGACATGTTATTGCACACTTAATAGACTGTAGTATAGTAAAAATACAACTTTTCTATGTACCAGGAAACCAAAAATGCATTTGACTTGCTTTGTGGTATTTGCTTTATTGCAGTGGTAATTTTTTGGTGGAGACACAAACCTACAGTATCTCCAAAGTATGCCCACATGGGCAAAAATCTTTTATTAAATGATCCTGTATGTCATAGTTCAAGAAGCAATTACTATCATCAGTTGGTGCTCTCAAACAGTTTGCTTTACAGATGAGTGTAAGGACTGACGCAGCTGGGATCAACTCTAGGTATACCTGCAGTGCGTATTTAAGAAAAGCTTAACCACTTTTTGTTCTAACTAAAACCCATGCCATATGAAAATAGCTTTGTAAGACTTATTCTTGGAAAGTCATCATCTGAATAGTACAAGTTGTCACCAGCACAATAGAGCACCACAAAAGAGCACAACAGGGAAGGAGCTTTACTTGGAATTAAAGCCCCATTCACTATTACTATTCACAGAAAGTATCTGTTGGTCAGTTACAAGTCTGTTTAAGGCAGAAGGGTCTCAGACTAAACCAGCAAGTTGACTAGCCTGATTCATTACAGCTGGTTTCATCAAATCAGTGGTAAAGATAATATGCCTAAAGAAAGTTGACTTAACCCTCATACACATAATGAAAATGCCTCTCATTTACATTCTTTATAGTGGCATATAACCTTACAAAACTCCTGACCTCCCCTCCATTAAAGAAAAGGTCACAAAATTACCTAAAGACATGAGTATTAGGGGAAAAATCAGTGACTTTCAAAAATCCTCCTGGGATAGGAAAGATTTTAAAAATAAACAAAAACTTGATATGCTAACTATCCAAATATTTTAAACACCATAAAGTATAAAAATGACAACTGGGAAAAAATTATTTGTAAGACATAAACAGTGAATCTTCCTAATCTCCCCCCACCAAAAAATATTTTACAATCCAAAAAATGTAAAAGAAAACCAGTTTTCAGTTAAATGAGTCAAACCCTACTAAAATGGTCTTAATAAAGGTTAGAAATGAAAGGAACCCATAAGCACAAAAAAGAATGAGACAAAAGAAGACAAAAAGGATCAAATTTTGGAAGTGAAAAAGTATTTATGTGAAAAAAAGTCAAGCAAAACTAATCTTAGAAAGGCTGAGGTCCATGGTGAGACAAAAAAGGTCTGGTCTGTCAGTCTACACAAGAATTCAGACCAAGATTCCCTCCCCAGTTCCACACAGCCAAATTCATGTATAACTTAAATACTTTAGCTACTATGCACATTCAAAACTAAGTTTTCAATTTTGCTAGTTAATTCTTAAGTAACTTGTTTTCAAGGATTTATAATAAATATTCAGAGTTTAGATAACAAACACCAACATATGGCTTCACATGGTCATCAAAGATTCTGTGACAATCTATTTTAATACCTTCCAAATTACTCCCAACAGTCTAGGGTAAACATGTGGGCTGGACAAAAAGTATTGTTTCTACACTTGAAACCGTTACTTTCTGGATCAATCACATCACAAAGTCATTTGGTCTTCGAAAATGAGAGAATTAGGTTAGAGAACCTTATGGCCTAGTATTTTACATTAAAATATTTCATAGCTAAAGCTAAATTTATGAAATCTTGTGATTTGTCCTCAAAAAACCAGTCACACTGTTAACAGTGTACATATGTTGACTTGTACTTGGGGGGAAAAAAAGAAACCTCCCATATTATGAACTCTACCTTCATATATTCCAACAAATATATTCTTTAAAATAATAAATCAAATACAGGACTCAAGAATAAACCATGCAATATTTTCTTTTATTATGGATGTTTTTAAAACTATTTCCTCAATCTCTCCATACACAGGCAAAAAAAGGTGTACTGTTTAACATATGGAAGTTGCAAATTTGGTAATTGCCTAGAGAAGGGAAATTATCCCTAAAACATGCTTAACCAGGAGGCCAATTCATCTGCCGACCTCCAAGAACATGGAGATGAACATGATACACAGACTGTCCCCCATCTGAACCTTCATTCACCACCATTCGATAACCCTTCTTCAGGCCCAAATCAGCAGCACATTTCTTGCCAACAATCATTAAATGTCCAAGAAGCTGGGAAAGAAAAAAAAAGTTTCTTAAGCCCAGGGAATCTATAACCTCTTGCCATTTAAATAACAAAACTACCAAGTTAAATATTATAAAATATTATAATTTTATATTATAAACTGCCAAGTTGAAACATACTCCTTTGGAAAGATATTTGAAAACTCTTTGAATCCTAATACAATATAAATGATAATTAAAAATTCATTATGGTTATTTACTCATTACTAATTTCAATAAACAAGAGATTTAAATCTATGGGCCTATTAAAACAATTCTGAAATCATATTCCAAACAGTATTTTTCTTAATAAAGCAAGGTATCTTGCTTGCTTGTTGTAGGGGAGTGTATCACTCAGAACAGGTTTAGTTATGCTGTGGTAAGAGACCACCCCAAAATCTGCTTAACAAGGATACATTTCTTGTGCTCACTACATGTTCATCTTAAGTTGACTCTGTAACCCAAATAGATGGATAGCCTCTGTAACATCATAAGGACAGAGGGGAGAACATGGCAAACCAGGTGCTCTTAGTTTCTGCTCAAAAGACATAATAGCACTTCTGCTGGCATTTGTTGACCAAATCATGCCAGACAACCAGGCCTGATATGAATGAGACCGGAAGTGTAATATACCCCCTTTATAATAGTGAGTATTTATCAACAATTATACAATCTGCCATGGGGGCATTAGGAAAATTTTTATTTGAGGCCTATCCCTTCTGGCAAAACCAATTATTTTTCTTTCCTTTAACATTAATAGAAGTTGTTATTGAGCCCTTTACTATATGCTATTTTTATTCTTAAAAATGACTCTCATCAACTAATCCTTGCTTGGAAACCTTTTTGTTTAAGAATTTGTGGTGATGTATATTAACTAGACTTACTGTGGTAACCATTTTGTATTACATGCATATATCAAAGCATGTTGTATGCCTAAAACTAATGTTATATTTTAATTATATCTTAATTTTTATAAATCGAACATTGCACTGCAGCCCTAATGATTTTCTGGTTTTTCTTCAGAAATGCCCTTAGGGAGATAAAAATTTGACATCACTTGAAGGTCAAAGTTTAGTTTCCTAATTTAAAAAGAAAATAAATCACGTTAGTAAAAGTGTACTTACACTTTCATCATCATCTTCTGCTACAGAAATCTGGGATATATGTTTCTTTGGTATCACCAGAAAATGTGTTGGTGCTTGAGGGGAAATATCATGGAAAGCAAGACACTGGGGGGGAAAAAAGTCAAATTTTAGTATCTTTTAGGTTAAATTTACCATTCTTTCACACTAACCCCATGGGAGACACTGTAGGAGATGCTAGGGAATCAGAAGTATAAGCAATACATGTGGTCCCCTGGTCCCTTTCAAGGAACTTACAGTCTAATTTAAAGTCTGACCTTAAACAAAGGAGTAATTGACCACAGATCCTAATGTTACAAAGGAAAAGTAAAAGGTGAAGTAAACAACTTTCACAGAAATACTGATTTTGAATTGGGTGGTCAGGGATAACCACTGTGAGGTAGTAGCCACATTTAAACTGAGATCCAAAGGATGAGTAGAAATAGGCACGCTAAATCCTTGTCTGCTTTCCAGTCTCACTCAGACAGCACTTCCTGCTCAAGTCAGTGTCCTCCATCTTTCTCCACCGACAGGCTTTTTCAACTGCTGTTCACGCTACCTCAACCATCGTCTTTCCCCCACAAACCCCAACTTTCGTCTTACTTAAAATGCTATTTATCCCTCAGATCCCAGCACATTATAATTTCTGAAGGAGCACTCCACCACGCCCTCCCCAACCTTCCCTAGGTTAGGAGCCCTGGTGTGTGCAATTTTCGTGGTTTTCCTTTTCTGCAGTGGTAACAACTTCCTCGTCTGATACTGGACTACGGTAATATACCTCATTCTTCCTACCTTACTCAACTATTTAGGAAGTATAGCTGTTCTTTTTTTTGAAGAAAGGAAGAGGATAAGTAGCATTTAGACAAATGACGCAGCACATGAATGTTCTATTTCTTGTTCTCTACTGAGGGTGGATGCTGCTTAATAGAACCCATCCCTGCCTAGCTGTCTCGGGAATAGTTCTATGTGGTGCTCCATACAAAATGCTGTACCATTCAGATTGCTTCATGCTGTTATACTGTGGGGACGTAAAAAGCAACAAAATATTCAGAGAACTACGCATTTTGTAAAACAGAAAAACTCTCCTAACTAGTGACAAAGGTATCTAAAATCCACCGCGAAGACTCTAAATCTTAATGTTTTGAATCTTAAGAACGCCACTAAATAGCATAACACAGAAAGCTTTTCTATCTAAATCAGCCAGCCAACCTCCTGCCCAGCTTTATCTGATATCGAAACCCATAAATACAACTGCACACGAAATACCTTACGCAAAAGGAATCAAAGTCTCATCAACTCGGCCTTTCTAAAACGGAATTTCACCTACAGCGAGGTCAACAGAAACGACATTCTTAGTCCGCTGGCATAAATTGCTTCCGGTCAAATATAAAAGAATCCATTCTTCCCGGAAGGGGCCAAAGGAAAGCGAATTCGAGAGGCAGGCCCATTTCTTACCTTTAAGTCTATAGACCAAGCAGGGCGTGGGGCGCGGGCGAGAGGGGAGGGGGGCGCGCAAGCGCGCCCAGCGTCGCAGGGCCCCCGGCCCCCTAGCGCCACGCGGCGCGTAGAGGTGCCCGGGGACGCCGCGGCAGGCCGGCTGCGCGCGGGAGATCGCGGAGATTGGGCCCCAGGCGGGGCGCGATCGGGTTTCTCTCTGCCAGGCAGAGCGCCGGCGAGATTGTGAGATTCCTGGCACAAGCGAGGTCCGAAGCAGCCGCGGAGCCGGCGGCGCCCACGCCGAGCAGCCGGCGCGCCCCACACGCTCCCAGACCCTGCGGGGCGGGCCCCACGGGCGCCCGGCGGCCTGGCCCGCGCCGGGGGCTGATAACGTGTAACCGGAGCGCCGGCACGCGCCGGCAGGCAGCCTCGGAGAAGCCGCGCGGGGCGGCCGGGTCCCCGCGTCGTCCCCGCGCCCTCCGACCCCTCCCTTCTCTCCGCGGGAAACCGGCGAGTCCACGGGCGGCTGCCTCGCCTCAGCCGTCGATCGAGGTGGCGCCCGGTGCCTACCTGGTCATCCTCAAAAATGATTTTGGCCGGGATTTCCTTGCGAATGATCTTCCCGAAAATCGTATCGCCACCAGGCCGGGCGGCCTGAGCCTTGGCGATCTCATCTGCCATCTCGGCCTCCCTCCCACGCGGCCGCCCGGGGAGCAGCTTGGAAGAGGGAGGAGCCGGGGTAGCGGGCGGAGGGCGGAGGGCGGGAGCGCGCGGCCAAGCCTGTGCGGGGACCGGTACTCGCGCGGCCGAGGCGAGCCTGCGCGTGCGCACTGGCCACCTGAGTGCGGGGGTGGCGGGCGCGCCAGACGCAGAGGGAGAGGGGCGCCCATCCAAGATTCCAAGGAGCCGCGTCGAGGTCATTTTTATAACATTCTTGTCTCGGGGTGTGAGTCGCTGGTAGAAGACCTTCCTCACTGGAACGCTTGTAGGGAAAGTTGGGTACTGTAACGAAAAGATTTGGTAATCCAAGCAGTGCTGGTGTGTTTGCTGACAGACGCCGTAACACTTTGTTTCTCAGCTACACAGGTCTGGGTTCCATAACCCCGCATACCCCTCCATATCTTTGTACCTTTTAAAAAGTTTTCTATATGTTACATCCACTTTATCTTTCGTTTTTGAACCCATTTCTCTCTTGTCAAGGTCATAAGGACCTTCACTTACAAAATCCTACAGGTTGTTGTAGTTCTCATCCTACTAGACTTCTTGGCACCATTTGCCACTGTTGACCATTCCCTCTTTTCAGCAGTTTTCAGTCTCCTACTCCTCACTTCTACCTCTCGATGCTGTTTCTCCTTCACAGTGAGCCTCCTGTTCCAGTCTTCTCAGTGGGTTCCATTCTTGGCCCTCTTCTCTAATTAACAATCTCCGAGTGTCCTTAATAAGGAAAATTAAGTACACCTACTGGACTACTCTATATTTGGCAAAATTATTGATAGTGGATCCCTCTAATCTCAAAAGTAACCCATTTGGTAATTCTGCTATCAAAGACTTTACTGGGATAATTGGCAAAATCTAAATAATGCCTATAAATTAGATAATAGTTTGGAAAGTCATGCTAATTTTTTCATACAACCACAGCAGAACTGTCAAAATCAGTTGATCTGGGTAGGGCCCTGTAATCGAAGTTTCTGACATATTTCCACATGATGCAGTTGCTGATAGCTCTGGAACCATACTTTGAGAGTCACTGATACCCACTGAAGTATTTAAGAGTGTGGGGGTATATATCTGCAACTCACTGTCAAACAGTAGAGAGATACAAAAAAATATGTCCATACATATTAGATCTCTGGCAACTTGCTGCACTGATGGACAGTGACTGTATTGGGGTATGGGTGGGGACTTGGTAATATGGGTAAATGTAGTAACCACATTATTTTTTCACGTGAAACCTTTGTAAGAGTGTATATCAATCATACCTTAATTAAAAAGATATATGCCCATATACAGATAAATTAGAGAAATACGATAAAGCAATTGTAGTAAAATGTTAACATTTGGGGATTCTGAGTGAAAGGTAATACGCATGTTGTTAATCTTGCAACTTTTCGGTAAGACAATTGTCAAGTTAAAAAATAAGTACTAATTTAGACAATAAATATTCAGGTCCCCTTTCGTTAAGTCTGAGGCTTTATCATCTACAGAGCAATGACTTCCCAGTATTTGTCTTCTGACCAACCTCTCCTTAATTCCAGGTTTGTCTGTGTTGTATATCACTGTCTCCTCAACACCTCCACTTGTATGTCTACTGGGTATTTCAAATTTACTTTTACTTCCTCTACAACAAGCAAACAAAAACATTGTCCTGTAGCATTCTACATTTACTCTAACATTTACTCAAAAACCTTGAAATCATCCTTAACTCTTCTCTCTGTACTTGCAACACATACCATGAATCTAATCACCTCACGTACTCTACTCCACCACCCTATTCCCAGCTGCTGTTGCCTTGCCTGGAGTATTTCAAGAGCCTCCTTGTTTGCCTCTCTGCTTCCACTATAGTCAGTTTGACATGCAGCACCCAAAATGTTTTTTGTTGTTGTTGTTGAGGTTTGTTTTTGTTTTTGCTTTTCCTGGTGGTCAAACACACATAAAATTGGCCATTTTAACCATTTTAAAGTATACAATTCAGTGTCATCAAGTACATTCACAGTGTAGTATGCACATCACCTCCATCTAGTTCTAGACCTTTTTATCACCCCATAGGGCAACTTGTACCCATTAAGCAGTCACCCCATTTGACTTTTTGACATGAGGTTACAATTTTTAGACATTTAAATATTTATTAACTCAGGACTCACACTTTTATTTTTATATTTGGAGCCAATATATATTTTTTTTAAGTTGCACGTATTCTCGTTAACCTTAAAAGCTGCTCACTTAGGCCTATGGGTGGTGTGCCAAAATGGTTTTTATAAAATATAAATCATGATGATACTCTTCTGCTAGTAAGACGTTCATCACAGAATTATATCCAGAATCCTTACTTGGGCTTACAGGAGTCCTTCCATACCAGCCTTCTTGACTGACTTCACCCAAACTGGGTGTCAGTGGGAAGATGCCCATGTCCTAATCCCTGGGCCTGTGAATATATTGCTTTACATGGTCAAGGACATTTGCAGATGTGATTAAGAATCTTGAGGTGGGAGATTCCTGGATTATCCAAGTGGGCCCGATGTAATGACAGGGGCTCTAAGTAAAAGAGGGGCACAGGATAGTAAGAGAGACGCAGGTATGATAGAAGCAGGGTGAGAGTCAAAGACTGTGGCCCTTTTCTCCATCTTCAGAGCCAGAAACAGCATCTTCAAACCTATCCCTGACTCTGCTTGCTTGTTGAACTTATGAGGATCCTTCTGATTACATTGGACCCACCAGAACAATCCAGGAAAATCTTCTCATCTCAAAAATCCTTAATCACATCTTTGAAGTCCCCTTTGTCATATAAACTAACATCCAGAAGTTCCTAGGACTTAAACTGGAGCATAGTTCAAAGGCCATTATTTTGCCTACTACGTAGCACCATGAAGTTAATTGATGATCATGCTGGAATTTCTTGCTCAGTTCTGAGTCCTGCACTTTGAGATCTCAGTCAACAAACCAGGACATATTCCCAGAGCGACCCTAATAGTCACCTCTTTCTGAAATAGCTGAAGGAACCATACAAATTTAAGAGAGGAGAAGCTTCAGGACCGAAATGATTTTGGCACTGTGGGAACTGTATTTTCAAATACTGGCAGATGAAGGGCTTTGGTTGAGGGAAAAGACTTTTAGCCAGAAATTAAACAGTAAGCTACAGATTTTTCAGGAAATCACCCATGATTCTAAACTGGAAATGAAAATGTGAATCTTTCAATCATTCATTGGCAATCAGAAGGCAATACAGTGCTGTGTCACAATATCATCTAATTTATTGTTTCCTGTATAGAAGAGTATCCAGTGTATCTGGTTTAATTGCTTGATTATATCAAACTCCCTCCTGCAAATCTAATGCATTTTAAGTAATTTTAAAAAGCCAGCTATTAAATATCTATTCTTATGGTGATTTCCAATATTCTTTATAATGGTATAAACTACAGAGAAGGAAAGGGTCTTGATCATTGGTCCAAATCTTTGGTCCCTAAAAAAAGTCAGCTTTACCTAAAAGCTAACTTGAAAGGTTGTGGGGGTAGAGAAGGCAAACAATGTTTATTCAATGGGAACAAAGTTGAGATTTTTCATGGTGCTTGCAAGGTCATAAGTTAAAATGTACTTAAATAAGTGCTTTTGATTGTTCAATGATTGTGATGCTGCTAATAAACTATTGGCAACTTTTCACCAGCCAAGCCAAAGAGTAGAGCAAGGTGAATAGGCATGATGTGTATAAGGTTAAGATCAGGCTTTCAGGTCAGACATAGGGATTTGTATCCCATACCTCTATTTACCAGCCATGTGGTCTTGAGAAAGTAACTCTACCTCACCTTCTGGTGTAATTTAATGATAGAATGTACAAACAGCATATTTGGGTATCAGTATTCCAATTATGTCTGCTATAGTTTCTAGGACTTGACTGTTACGCAGTTTTGCAAAGAGACAGTTGCCAACTGGGAAACGTTAAAATAAGGGTTCGTTATTAGATAACCCCAAACACCAAACAGGAGTTAATGATTTATGGTACCCAAGCCGTCCATTAGCTCTCCGCCGTCAGTTTGCCGCTGAAGAGGCCGAAAGTGACACTGCCCCTAATTAACATGGCGTGTAGGTGATTTCCGTTCTCCTGTCTCCAGCAAATAGGTTCGGCGGCTTCTCGCGGTTTTTCCAGACCGCACAGGCGTAGCTAACTCCCCCGCTCCGTCCCCGAGGAAGGCGGGACTACGAAAGAGGTGCTGCGTGGTGATTGGTTACGGTGCTTTAGGAGAGTGCCGCACGGAGTCGGACCGGCCACGCAAGGTAGTGATTGGTTGTCGAGAGGCGGGGGGGTTGGGGTGTTCTCGGTCGCTTGAGAGGTATTCGCCGCGGTGAGGAGAACCATGGGTCAGGCGGCGAAGGTGACAGGGCCGGGGGAGGGCTTGGGTGAGATGTCGGTGGGGAGGGTAAGAACGCGGCCTTGCCAAGGTTGCCTGGAGCCTGTGTAGCTGGGTGTCAGGACCCTCCGTGGAGGATGTGGCTGTTGCCTCTGAGGCGCCCCGTTGACCATCCCCGGAGGGCCGGAGGGCAGTGGTGGCAGAGTGGCGCCAGGGTTCCTCCTATTCCTTAGTCCACCGGGTAGCGAGTGTTTGTCCGTGATGCAAGCCTGCGACTTGAGTTCTGCCCCCGTCCCCTCTCCACACCGGGTATTCGTCTGAGGGTCCGATTTCACATCCCTGGGGAGTGTAGGAGACGCCGCGCTACAACCTTCCGATGAAGTGAAAGGTCCGATGACGTCAGCGGTTTTGTTAGGTAACCTGAAAATACACAGAAGGCTAGGAATCAAGGAAAGAGGGTCCCAGCAAAGTCAGCTGCCAAAAGTAATTCCTGTTGAAACAGAGCTGAGACCTGGGTGCCATGACTGCGCTGGGGAAGCAACGGGCCCGCCAGGGTCACACAGCTGAGAACCTGGTCTCAGAATCTTTTCTCCAGAGAGTGATGCACGTTTCTGGGCATTGCACAGTTGTCAGGGACCAGCCATCCCTGACCTTAAATATCAGCATGGCCACCTGGGACCTGTTCTTGTCACTGGCTGAAACATGGGCATGGCAAGGGCAAAATGGCCTGCTGCAATATAGTGAGGAAAAGCCATGCTTATGGTTGGTCAGTAATAAGGAACTGCCAAGCGGTGCCCCAGGTACTAAACCTGATGTTCTCTGTACATTTTAACATATGTCACAGCACCAATAGAAACAGAATTATAAGTAGTTATTCATTCAGACCATTTTATTGAGTATTCATGGTGGCTGTTAATAATACTTAATATCCAACATTTACAGGCTTAGTGGACACAACAATAAACAGACCACCTTTGCCTTATCCAGCTGGCAGGGAAATTTAAAATAGTTACTTACGTTTGTAGTGTTTTGAAAGGAAAATACAGTGTATTTTGTGAGTATATAACAGATTTAACCTCTGTGGAGGGAATGCAAAAAAAAAAAAATCTCTCCTGGAAGTGTTAGTTGAGACCTGAAGTTTGATTGGAAATTCGGAGAAAAAAGTGTTCCAGAAAGAGAAAGTAGCATATGGAAAGTTCTTCAAGTGGGAAGTTGCTTGGAAAACTTGGATACAGGTGCAATTAAGTAAGACTCATTCCAGAACCACTTTTGATAAGGCTTACCATGTATAGAAGATACCTGTGCTTAGTGTGGAGGCTACAGTGACCAAAAAGCCTTGGAGGAAATATACGGGAGAACAGCAAGTAAACATCTAGCTTGCAGTGTAGTAAGTGCTCAGTGCTGTGGATATGCTCACGAGGCACACATAACCCAGACTTAGAAGGGATAGGTAAGAATGACTAAGTGAAGCCTAGTACAGAAATTACACCATATTTTTGAACCCATTTCTCTCTTGTCAAGGTCATAAGGACCTTCACTTACAAAATCCTACAGGTTGTTGTAGTTCTCATCCTACTAGACTTCTTGGCACCATTTGCCACTGTTGACCATTCCCTCTTTTCAGCAGTTTTCAGTCTCCTACTCCTCACTTCTACCTCTCGATGCTGTTTCTCCTTCACAGTGAGCCTCCTGTTCCAGTCTTCTCAGTGGGTTCCATTCTTGGCCCTCTTCTCTAATTAACAATCTCCGAGTGTCCTTAATAAGGAAAATTAAGTACACCTACTGGACTACTCTATATTTGGCAAAATTATTGATAGTGGATCCCTCTAATCTCAAAAGTAACCCATTTGGTAATTCTGCTATCAAAGACTTTACTGGGATAATTGGCAAAATCTAAATAATGCCTATAAATTAGATAATAGTTTGGAAAGTCATGCTAATTTTTTCATACAACCACAGCAGAACTGTCAAAATCAGTTGATCTGGGTAGGGCCCTGTAATCGAAGTTTCTGACATATTTCCACATGATGCAGTTGCTGATAGCTCTGGAACCATACTTTGAGAGTCACTGATACCCACTGAAGTATTTAAGAGTGTGGGGGTATATATCTGCAACTCACTGTCAAACAGTAGAGAGATACAAAAAAATATGTCCATACATATTAGATCTCTGGCAACTTGCTGCACTGATGGACAGTGACTGTATTGGGGTATGGGTGGGGACTTGGTAATATGGGTAAATGTAGTAACCACATTATTTTTTCACGTGAAACCTTTGTAAGAGTGTATATCAATCATACCTTAATTAAAAAGATATATGCCCATATACAGATAAATTAGAGAAATACGATAAAGCAATTGTAGTAAAATGTTAACATTTGGGGATTCTGAGTGAAAGGTAATACGCATGTTGTTAATCTTGCAACTTTTCGGTAAGACAATTGTCAAGTTAAAAAATAAGTACTAATTTAGACAATAAATATTCAGGTCCCCTTTCGTTAAGTCTGAGGCTTTATCATCTACAGAGCAATGACTTCCCAGTATTTGTCTTCTGACCAACCTCTCCTTAATTCCAGGTTTGTCTGTGTTGTATATCACTGTCTCCTCAACACCTCCACTTGTATGTCTACTGGGTATTTCAAATTTACTTTTACTTCCTCTACAACAAGCAAACAAAAACATTGTCCTGTAGCATTCTACATTTACTCTAACATTTACTCAAAAACCTTGAAATCATCCTTAACTCTTCTCTCTGTACTTGCAACACATACCATGAATCTAATCACCTCACGTACTCTACTCCACCACCCTATTCCCAGCTGCTGTTGCCTTGCCTGGAGTATTTCAAGAGCCTCCTTGTTTGCCTCTCTGCTTCCACTATAGTCAGTTTGACATGCAGCACCCAAAATGTTTTTTGTTGTTGTTGTTGAGGTTTGTTTTTGTTTTTGCTTTTCCTGGTGGTCAAACACACATAAAATTGGCCATTTTAACCATTTTAAAGTATACAATTCAGTGTCATCAAGTACATTCACAGTGTAGTATGCACATCACCTCCATCTAGTTCTAGACCTTTTTATCACCCCATAGGGCAACTTGTACCCATTAAGCAGTCACCCCATTTGACTTTTTGACATGAGGTTACAATTTTTAGACATTTAAATATTTATTAACTCAGGACTCACACTTTTATTTTTATATTTGGAGCCAATATATATTTTTTTTAAGTTGCACGTATTCTCGTTAACCTTAAAAGCTGCTCACTTAGGCCTATGGGTGGTGTGCCAAAATGGTTTTTATAAAATATAAATCATGATGATACTCTTCTGCTAGTAAGACGTTCATCACAGAATTATATCCAGAATCCTTACTTGGGCTTACAGGAGTCCTTCCATACCAGCCTTCTTGACTGACTTCACCCAAACTGGGTGTCAGTGGGAAGATGCCCATGTCCTAATCCCTGGGCCTGTGAATATATTGCTTTACATGGTCAAGGACATTTGCAGATGTGATTAAGAATCTTGAGGTGGGAGATTCCTGGATTATCCAAGTGGGCCCGATGTAATGACAGGGGCTCTAAGTAAAAGAGGGGCACAGGATAGTAAGAGAGACGCAGGTATGATAGAAGCAGGGTGAGAGTCAAAGACTGTGGCCCTTTTCTCCATCTTCAGAGCCAGAAACAGCATCTTCAAACCTATCCCTGACTCTGCTTGCTTGTTGAACTTATGAGGATCCTTCTGATTACATTGGACCCACCAGAACAATCCAGGAAAATCTTCTCATCTCAAAAATCCTTAATCACATCTTTGAAGTCCCCTTTGTCATATAAACTAACATCCAGAAGTTCCTAGGACTTAAACTGGAGCATAGTTCAAAGGCCATTATTTTGCCTACTACGTAGCACCATGAAGTTAATTGATGATCATGCTGGAATTTCTTGCTCAGTTCTGAGTCCTGCACTTTGAGATCTCAGTCAACAAACCAGGACATATTCCCAGAGCGACCCTAATAGTCACCTCTTTCTGAAATAGCTGAAGGAACCATACAAATTTAAGAGAGGAGAAGCTTCAGGACCGAAATGATTTTGGCACTGTGGGAACTGTATTTTCAAATACTGGCAGATGAAGGGCTTTGGTTGAGGGAAAAGACTTTTAGCCAGAAATTAAACAGTAAGCTACAGATTTTTCAGGAAATCACCCATGATTCTAAACTGGAAATGAAAATGTGAATCTTTCAATCATTCATTGGCAATCAGAAGGCAATACAGTGCTGTGTCACAATATCATCTAATTTATTGTTTCCTGTATAGAAGAGTATCCAGTGTATCTGGTTTAATTGCTTGATTATATCAAACTCCCTCCTGCAAATCTAATGCATTTTAAGTAATTTTAAAAAGCCAGCTATTAAATATCTATTCTTATGGTGATTTCCAATATTCTTTATAATGGTATAAACTACAGAGAAGGAAAGGGTCTTGATCATTGGTCCAAATCTTTGGTCCCTAAAAAAAGTCAGCTTTACCTAAAAGCTAACTTGAAAGGTTGTGGGGGTAGAGAAGGCAAACAATGTTTATTCAATGGGAACAAAGTTGAGATTTTTCATGGTGCTTGCAAGGTCATAAGTTAAAATGTACTTAAATAAGTGCTTTTGATTGTTCAATGATTGTGATGCTGCTAATAAACTATTGGCAACTTTTCACCAGCCAAGCCAAAGAGTAGAGCAAGGTGAATAGGCATGATGTGTATAAGGTTAAGATCAGGCTTTCAGGTCAGACATAGGGATTTGTATCCCATACCTCTATTTACCAGCCATGTGGTCTTGAGAAAGTAACTCTACCTCACCTTCTGGTGTAATTTAATGATAGAATGTACAAACAGCATATTTGGGTATCAGTATTCCAATTATGTCTGCTATAGTTTCTAGGACTTGACTGTTACGCAGTTTTGCAAAGAGACAGTTGCCAACTGGGAAACGTTAAAATAAGGGTTCGTTATTAGATAACCCCAAACACCAAACAGGAGTTAATGATTTATGGTACCCAAGCCGTCCATTAGCTCTCCGCCGTCAGTTTGCCGCTGAAGAGGCCGAAAGTGACACTGCCCCTAATTAACATGGCGTGTAGGTGATTTCCGTTCTCCTGTCTCCAGCAAATAGGTTCGGCGGCTTCTCGCGGTTTTTCCAGACCGCACAGGCGTAGCTAACTCCCCCGCTCCGTCCCCGAGGAAGGCGGGACTACGAAAGAGGTGCTGCGTGGTGATTGGTTACGGTGCTTTAGGAGAGTGCCGCACGGAGTCGGACCGGCCACGCAAGGTAGTGATTGGTTGTCGAGAGGCGGGGGGGTTGGGGTGTTCTCGGTCGCTTGAGAGGTATTCGCCGCGGTGAGGAGAACCATGGGTCAGGCGGCGAAGGTGACAGGGCCGGGGGAGGGCTTGGGTGAGATGTCGGTGGGGAGGGTAAGAACGCGGCCTTGCCAAGGTTGCCTGGAGCCTGTGTAGCTGGGTGTCAGGACCCTCCGTGGAGGATGTGGCTGTTGCCTCTGAGGCGCCCCGTTGACCATCCCCGGAGGGCCGGAGGGCAGTGGTGGCAGAGTGGCGCCAGGGTTCCTCCTATTCCTTAGTCCACCGGGTAGCGAGTGTTTGTCCGTGATGCAAGCCTGCGACTTGAGTTCTGCCCCCGTCCCCTCTCCACACCGGGTATTCGTCTGAGGGTCCGATTTCACATCCCTGGGGAGTGTAGGAGACGCCGCGCTACAACCTTCCGATGAAGTGAAAGGTCCGATGACGTCAGCGGTTTTGTTAGGTAACCTGAAAATACACAGAAGGCTAGGAATCAAGGAAAGAGGGTCCCAGCAAAGTCAGCTGCCAAAAGTAATTCCTGTTGAAACAGAGCTGAGACCTGGGTGCCATGACTGCGCTGGGGAAGCAACGGGCCCGCCAGGGTCACACAGCTGAGAACCTGGTCTCAGAATCTTTTCTCCAGAGAGTGATGCACGTTTCTGGGCATTGCACAGTTGTCAGGGACCAGCCATCCCTGACCTTAAATATCAGCATGGCCACCTGGGACCTGTTCTTGTCACTGGCTGAAACATGGGCATGGCAAGGGCAAAATGGCCTGCTGCAATATAGTGAGGAAAAGCCATGCTTATGGTTGGTCAGTAATAAGGAACTGCCAAGCGGTGCCCCAGGTACTAAACCTGATGTTCTCTGTACATTTTAACATATGTCACAGCACCAATAGAAACAGAATTATAAGTAGTTATTCATTCAGACCATTTTATTGAGTATTCATGGTGGCTGTTAATAATACTTAATATCCAACATTTACAGGCTTAGTGGACACAACAATAAACAGACCACCTTTGCCTTATCCAGCTGGCAGGGAAATTTAAAATAGTTACTTACGTTTGTAGTGTTTTGAAAGGAAAATACAGTGTATTTTGTGAGTATATAACAGATTTAACCTCTGTGGAGGGAATGCAAAAAAAAAAAATCTCTCCTGGAAGTGTTAGTTGAGACCTGAAGTTTGATTGGAAATTCGGAGAAAAAAGTGTTCCAGAAAGAGAAAGTAGCATATGGAAAGTTCTTCAAGTGGGAAGTTGCTTGGAAAACTTGGATACAGGTGCAATTAAGTAAGACTCATTCCAGAACCACTTTTGATAAGGCTTACCATGTATAGAAGATACCTGTGCTTAGTGTGGAGGCTACAGTGACCAAAAAGCCTTGGAGGAAATATACGGGAGAACAGCAAGTAAACATCTAGCTTGCAGTGTAGTAAGTGCTCAGTGCTGTGGATATGCTCACGAGGCACACATAACCCAGACTTAGAAGGGATAGGTAAGAATGACTAAAGTGAAGCCTAGTACAGAAATTACACCATACTCTTAAAATTAGCCCATTACTCAAGAAAATTGAGGTAAAAAAGTAACGTCCAAGTTTACAGTAAGTGGCAATATCAGATTTAAACTGACTTGACTGTAAACAGCCCACTTTCCATATAACTTTTTCCAAAGCAGCTGCACCACCTTACAGTCCCATCAAGAATATATGAGTTCCAATTTTTCCACATCCTTGCCAACACTTGTTGACTGTTTTTATGATTAAAGCCATCCTAGTGGGGTGAAGTGGTATCACTGAGATTTAAATTTGTATTTCCCAGATGGCAAAGTATCTTGGGCATCTTTTCATGGCCTTAATTGTCGTTTGTCTATCCTCTTTAGAGAAATGTCTGCTCAAATCCTTTGCTTTTTTTAAATTATTTTTTAAATTGTTCAGTTGTAAAAGTTCATACATTCTAGATAGCAGCCCCTTATCAGATACATACTTTGCAAATATTTTCTTCCATTCTGTAGGTTGTCTTTTCTCTTTTTTGATAGTGTGTTTTCCTTTTCTCTTAGTAAAATAATTTTTATACTTTTTATAAAGGCAATAAATACATAGGTAAAGTTTAAGAAGTCAAATAGTGTTATACAGAAACCAGCAGTTCTCTGCTTCCTTTTACATACTCCCAATTCCTGCTCCCCAAAGATAAGCTTTTTTAATCATTTTACCTGTTTCTTTTGATATTTACCTCCAGTTTCTAAATAACATATTTAGACTGCTGTTTATTGATTCTTTTTACTCTTTGGAAGTAGTACTTAACTGACTTTTAACCATGAAAGTGGAGAACTGAGCTCCCTCTTACACTCTGTTCCTCTCAATATACAAATTTTGGTGAGTCACTTTTCATTTCTGATACTAGCATGACTACAAAAAACTTACCCATGGCTGAACCCTCTAATATAATTATATTTCCTTTCTTTCCTAATTCTTATTTTTTCTTGAAATTAATAACTACTTTGTTTTTATTATCATTGATTAGATTCTTTCATATCTGTTCCCAAAGCTGAAATCTACCAGTTTTATTTTTTTCCTAGCAACGTCTTTTCTGGAGCAGTTCAGCCCAAGCTGGCTGCACAAATGGTGACCTGTATTTGTCCTTCACCATCATCTCTGCCTTTCCTATGTGAGGTGACCAGTCTCTCTGGTTCTCATATTTTTTTCTTTTGTATATAGTTCATCCCCTTGTTTTGGTAGAGCATATTTTTCTATAGCTTTCCAAGAAAGGGTGCATGGCAGATAAGGAACTCTGCATTTCTGAAAATGTCTGTTGACACAGTTAGGTGATAGTTTGGCTATGTATGGTATTCTAAGCTAGACTTTTTTCCTCAAAACTTGAAGATATATACCATTGTCTTCTCACAGCAATGCTATTTAGAAGTCAGGCACCATTCTGATTTTCTGTCCTTTATATGTGAACTGTTATTTTCTCTCTGAGATTTTCTTTTTCATTAGCATTGTGCTGAACTTGCATCATGATGTGCTATTTTATGGGGTTTGTTTTGGGCACTTGGTGGAACCCTTTCACTCCAGTAACTCATTTGCCTTACTTGGTGAAATTTTCTTGATTTTTTTTCCCCTTTTAATTTCTTCTGTTCTCTTGCTGAAGATCCTATTAAGGTAACTGTCAGGCCACACAGACTACTACCTTAATTTTCTTATCTTTTTTCCTGTCAGTTTCTGTCTCTGAGTTTTTATTCTACTTCTGGGCATTTTTTCTTAACTTAATCTTTGCTATCACTCATTTGATATCCAAGAGCTTTTGGGATTTTTCTGACAGTTCCTTTTTTAATTTACTGTAACTTCTTTTTGTTATTATTCCATGTTTGCAGTAATTAGTTAAGTTTCTGAGGAAGCTCGTGGTAGTTTGGTTTTTGTTTTATTTTTACTCTTTCTGCACCCCATTTCCTGTTGCTGTTCTGCTGTCTGCTTTTGATGTTATAAGTTTTCTCATATATGTAAAATACTTAAAAGAGTGCCTTGGACACAGGATATACTCAGTAAATATTAGTTGTTAATATGTGGTGAGTGGACTGGAGGAAACCAGGAAATGGGGGTAGAGTGACAAATCACTATAAGTAGTCTTAAGCAAGAGATGGGGAGGATCTGAACTTAAATAGTTTTGGAGGATGGAGATAGACAAAAGATTAGAGAGGCAGTCCTAAAGTTTCCACATGAGGACTAAGGTAGATTTCAAGAATAAACTAGAGATCTCTGGCTTGAGAAATTCAGCGTCTCCCACAACTGAAATTGAGAAAATAAGAGAAAGGGCAATATTAGGGGAACAATATTGAGTACCTTTTTGGCTTTGAGAAGTGTGAGGTAAGCTCAGCCTATCACTAAAGCCTCTACATAGATTAATCTGCCTTCTACCAAAATGCCAGGGTCTTTTCTCTTCTTTTTTTCAAAACAACCTTAGAATATTCATAAGTCTCTGCATTCCACCTCTGTTTTGAGAAAGCACAATTTAGTATCCTAAATTACCTGAAACATCTTCCTTCTGGACTGTTTTAAGATGTAATAAGTTCATGAGTTTGTGTGTATGTGTGTATGGTTTTAGGAGTCGGTGAACACCTCAGTATGAAACGAAAAATGAGAACAAATCCATATCAGACTGTTTAAGTTTGTTACCTTGGCAGACTGGTTTTTGACAGGGGGATTATTAACTTTTTTGTTATCCTTTTTTTTTCACTTCACAGAGCTTCATACTATTTTTGTAAATCTTTTTTTAGAGATTGGTTGGTTATTTATTACAATATAATTGATAGATAACATTAGATTAGTTTCAGGTATACAACATGATCTATATATAGCATGCAATGATTACAAGTCGAGTTAAACATCTGTCACCATATGTAGTTAAAAGTTCTCATCACAAGAAAAAAATTGCTTTTAAGTTTACTCCTCATGACTTTCAAATATTTAATACAGTATTATGAATTATAGTTATGCTGTACATTACAGTCCCAGGACTATTTATTTTATAACCAGAAGTTTGTATCTTTCAACTCCCTTCACCCACTTTGTGCTCTGTCCCAACCAGTGTTCTTTGTATCTATGAACCTAGAGGGTTGTTTTTTTTGTTTTGTTCCATTTTTTTTTTCTGATTCCACATATAACTGATACCATAGAGTACTTTCTTTCTCTGTCTGACTTACATATCATTAAGATCCATCTATGTTGTCTCAAATGGCAGGATTTCTTTCTTTATGGTTGAATAATATTCCATTGTGTACGTATAACCTCTTTATCCATTCATCCATTGATGGATACTTAGGTTGTTTCCATCTCTTTGCAATGAATGAACATGAGAGGGTGTGTTCTGGGTTAGTGTTTTCCTTTTCTTCAAATAGTCAGAAGAGAATTGCTTCATCATATTTACTTTTTTATTTTTATGTATTTGTTTATTTTATTTATTTTTTATTTTTTGTTTATTTTGTTTATTTTGTTATCATTAATCTACAATTACATGCAGAACATTATGTTTACTAGGCTCCCCCTTCACCAAGTCCCCCCCACAATCCCCATTACAGTCACTGTCCATCAGC